ACGAAAACCACACAAACTCCAGCCACCCAAGAGGGCCAGACGGTTGAGTGGACAGCGCACGGAATTCGTAGTCCTGAGGTTCCGGGTTCGATCCTTGGTGGAGGCAGAAGCAAGTGGAGCAGAGTTTCTTTCACTCTAATTCACCCGTTCACCTAGCAGTAAATACGAACCGGGGAGTTAGCTGCTACGGGATGCTTCCTAGGGGGGAAGTAACAAAAAGGAGATCTGGTCGAGGACCGGGCCGCGGGGACGCTAAGCCCCGAAATCATCTCAAGATAACGTCAAAATAACCCATCAAACCTAACTAGTTGTTGTATAGAAACCGTGGACATTTGTAAGCCGCTACTTTTTTTTGAGATATATATATACAAGAGTTGTTACATTCTTGTACAGCCACTATTACGCGTAGAGTTTCCGGCAGGTCCCTGGAATACGATCCCCGCCGCGAAGAATTGTTTTTATAACCAAGTACACATTTTACTGTTGTGTTAAACAGAGGCTACAGTTAAGGATTTGCGCCCAGTAAATCCTCCCCGGCCAGGATACGAACCCATGACATAGCGCTCGTGGAACGCCAGGCGAGTGTCTTACCACAACACCACGGAGACTGACTTTTCATAGGACTTCGTAATTTTTCCGTTTGTAACCATTAGGTACAAATCGAGACATGCTACTTGAGGGGCCTTGTTGCCCCATCTTACCTGCTTAACGTGGGTGTAGGCCTCGTAGTCAGAAGTGAAGAGGTTGTTCAGCAGCGTCCACTCGCTTCCTTCAGTCGTCGTCTTCACGAAGTGGATTGGCTTCCCCTGCAGGAGTGATCACAAGACGTTACCTTCGTCAGCACAAGAGCTGGGCCGCGCTCCAGGGCCCAGCGGTAGAATGTCAGTCATATCATCTAACACTAGCCATTTGTTAAGGCGTGTGTAATTAGACAGACATGGCGAGGCTATTTAACTGGACAAACTTATGACAAACCATTAAGACTGACAATGTGACCGTGAATGACAATGCATTAAGACTAAGGGGCCATAAGTTAGTTTTTTAAAAGTTCTTCAATGTCAACCAATCTTTTTTTGACTAGTTGTATATGAAAAGGCCTGCAATTGTTCCAATTTTCAATACCGCAGCGTAAATAGAAAGGGTGATTTTTTTAACGAATATTACACATTTTCAATAAGCCTCTACAACCACAAGTTTCAAATGAAATCATTTCTATGACACTTTCCTATCACATTAGCTTATAATAAATTATCTGTATGAGCGGATTTTCCAAAATATGTTAAGTTGCACTAATACAAATATTCAAAGTTCCCCCCAAAATTATGCATATATATCGTTTTTATTACTATTATAAAATCAATAAGTAAATCAAGGAAAAAACGCTTCTTACAGATTGTAGAGACATAAACTCTACATATAGAGTGTAAGTTTCATGTAAATTGAATAAGAAATGAAAGAGTAGAGATCACGTTTATGTTACCTGAAAATAAATAATTAATAAATAAAGTCTAAGGAGCTGCCATTTGTGGCTGAGGTTGACATCAACCAATTTCCTCCAAAACTGGCACCCTTACAGATAGGTTTTCGTGCAGTAAGGTATATAAGTTTCATGCAAATCGTTCGATAAACAAATAAGAAAAGAAAATTTGTTAAAAATCTAATTTTTATTTTACCAAATTTTTTTGGATAAAACTAATTGTTAAATAGTTTTATTATATGCTATTGTGATACCTGAGCGTCATAGACATGATTTCAGTTGGCACTTTTGTTTGATGTTAATTTTTTACCATCTTGGACACTTTTTGACACATAATTCAATATTTTTTCTCCCTTTCTATTTATGCTACGATGCTGAGACTTGGACCAGATGAAACCCTTTTCATATACAACAGGTCAAAAAAGTTTGATTGAAATCGAACTAGTTTTCATTCATTGCATATTTTTGGCATATTTGGAACTGATGCCTCCCCCTTAAGGCTGACAATGTGACCCAGCCAAACACTAAGACTTACCATGTGACCTAGCCAAACACTAAGACTTACCATGTGACCTAGCCAAACACTAAGACTTACCATGTGACCTAGCCAAGCATTAAGACTTACCATGTGACCTAGCCAAACACTAAGACTTACCATGTGACCTAGCCAAACACTAAGACTTACCATGTGACCTAGCCAAACACTAAGACTTACCATGTGACCTAGCCAAGCATTAAGACTGACCATGTGAGCTAACCAAGCAATAAGACTTACCATGTGACTAAGCAGGTTGATAAAGTTGTCGAGAGTGTAGGCGCCGAGGCCGGAGGTGTTGGAGAGGGTCAGTGGGTAGAGGTACACGTTGGTGGTGAGTTGCATGTAGCTGTACTCTGTAGTTGCCGTCACCAGGTGGGTACGACACCCCCGGACACCCATCTAAGGCGGCACCAAGGAACAGTGTGGTCAGTGGCAGAAACATGGTGGGAGGAACGTAGCTTGTGTATGGAAAGAGAGGCTTTCAGTGGGACTTAAACGGTGGTAAGTTCTTAATGAAAATTACCCAATGCTTAATTTTCAGTGAAATGCACCCAGTGAGAGGGTCTCGGTGGAAGTTGCCCAGTCGGAGGGTCTCATTGGAAATTACTTAGTAGGAAGGTCCTACTGGAAAGTACCAAGTAGGAGGATCCTACTGGAAAGTACCAAGTAGGAGGATCCTACTGGAAAGTACCAAGTAGGAGGATCCTACTGGAAAGTACCAAGTAGGAGGATCCTACTGGAAAGTACCAAGTAGAAGGATCCTACTGGAAAGTACCAAGTAGAAGGATCCTACTGGAAAGTACCAAGTAGGAGGGTCCTACTGGAAAGTACCAAGTAGAAGGATCCTACTGGAAAGTACCTAGTAGAAGGGTCCTACTGGAAAGTACCAAGTAGGATGATCCTACTGGAAAGTACCAAGTAGGATGATCCTACTGGAAAGTACCAAGTAGGAGGATCCTACTGGAAAGTACCAAGTTGGAGGGTCTTACTGGAAAGTACCAAGTGGGAGGGTCCTACTGGAAAGTACCAAGTAGAAGGATCCTACTGGAAAGTACCAAGTAGAAGGATCCTACTGGAAAGTACCAAGTAGGATGATCCTACTGGAAAGTACCAAGTAGGATGATCCTACTGGAAAGTACCAAGTGGGAGGGTCCTACTGGAAAGTACCAAGTAGAAGGATCCTACTGGAAAGTACCAAGTGGGAGGGTCCTACTGGAAAGTACCAAGTAGAAGGATCCTACTGGAAAGTACCAAGTAGAAGGATCCTACTGGAAAGTACCAAGTAGGAGGATCCTACTGGA